CTGTGTATATTTTTAAAGTTTTTTAAGCACAATAAAAAAGGCCTCGCTACTCCCTAGTGGGGGTCCCAACCCAACTGTACAGAGCCCAAAAAAACAGGTCAAAAATATACATAATAATGGCAGCTTTTCATTAAATGGTCAAAACTATGTTACCACTCAAACTTACTATGTGGACACCAAGACATTAAACCCATATGTGATTTAGCATCTCATCCATTCCTCTCTGGTTTTAGGACTTCCACCAGATTATGGACCCTGGCCAGGGATTTGCTCCCATTCAGCCAGAAGAGCATTAGATGGGCCACTGATGTTGGTCGATGTTACCCCTCCAAGGTGTCCAGTGGGCTTGAATATCTTCCACACTGAACTGGAAAACAATTTCTTTACAGGCCTGGCTTTGTGCATAGGGGCATTGTCATGTTGAAACAGGAAAGGGCCTTCCCCAAACTGCTGCCACAACACTGGAAGAACACTATTGTCTCAACTATCACTGTGTGCTGCAGAATTGGGACTTCCCTCTAAATTTCTTGGAACTAAAGAGCCTAACCCAAACCATGGAAAATCGCCCTATTGACCGAAAGCATTCAGATTTAGACATGTAATGCATTTCTAATCAGGTTTTGAGCGTGCAGTGCAGTCACATTTGCAAAATCAGTCAGCATGCATACACAAATTCTCTTGAATTTTGAATGTGCAGTTGATGGACACTATGGGATAACATTAATGGGAATCAATGTTTACATCTTGTTCTGTCACGAGCACAAGCCTCTCGTGAGTATGAGTAGACCCTTCTGCACGGTGATACGCAGAAAGAAAGTAGTTACTGCATGAAACTGCTCACAACAAGGTCTGTAGATTATCCTGAGTACTCGGGTGATGATTCCTGGAAAGAACATTGCTGTTGAGTTTTTAAAATTTATTTTTTTGGCTCTTTGTACACCACAAGCCGAGTGCCATCTGGTTCCATTATAACGGAGAGAGGGCTGTAGAGATGTCGGATCTCTATGGCTGATATCTCCAAATCAGCTCACGCCAAAACAATCTTCTAGATAGATAAATAGCATAACAGGAAGATGTATTTTTCATTTTGGGGTGAACTGTTCCTGTAGGCCCCCCTTTTAGCATTTATAAGCAGCATTTAAACAATTAATAAATGGTTTATAACACACTCTCAGCACTGTCTCTTGTTATTGGTGACTCTCTTATCAACTTTATTTCTAAAAGGCCAGCAGCTACTATGTCATTTTTCCCCATTGGAGGCTATCCTATTTGCGACTACTGGAAAATGTATCATTCTAATTGGTAAGGAGGAATAACTTTAAAAATGTAATCCAATACAATTACAAATTATCTTTAAAAAAAAAATGTCAACCTAATCCGAGTATCACAAATTAAATGCAAGAGAAAACTAATATCAAGAAGAAGTCTTAATGCAAGTGTTTTCTATAAGACAACTGAACAAAGTGACCTTTGAAAAGAAGATGGAAATAAAAAGATTTGTAGCATCAAAATGTGTCCTCTACTCAGTGTATTATTTTTTAAAGAAAAACTGATTTATTTTAAAATTGTAATCCTGCTAATAATTCCAATTTTTACTCTATGTAACTGTTTTTTGTATCCTGATTAGGTAACTCAGTTACATGTAATCTGTTACTCCCAAAGCCTTTTGGTAGGTGTGTTAAAAGTCAGTGAACAGTAAGCAACCAAAACAAAATGAAGTGTAGGGGCAGCCACTATCTCAGGGGAATCACAGACTATTCCTTTAATGTGAATTCAAATGTCAATATTGTCCTGAAAACTATGTCCTAAATGTGTTATAGAATTGTGGGAAATGCACTTAAAAAATCTGTTTCTCCCCCCCATGTCTAAGCATGGTTACACCCTTGAAATGTACAAACACTTACAGTATATATCCTTACAACATGTATTAACTGTATCTGTACTGCTTCTGAATGCCAAATAGCATGAGGTAAAGTGTTACCCACTATTATCCCACAATGCCATGCATGAAGGAAATGCATAAAGCTGCACACTCAGCTGCCAGAATAGGTGCTCCTAGCTAAAACCAATGCAGTCTAATACAACAGCCTTGCAATACACCTTACCACCATGAAAGCTATAATGTTTCAGAGAGGTGTAGATTCAACTCTATGATCAATTTGGAGGCTGTTGAGCTGTATTGTGTTACACTGACGGGTGTTTCTATTATTTTGCCCGCCCCATTTATATCAATGAGGGTAGGCTGAATGACACTAACACCTCTGTGTATAATTATTTTTCACAGAGAGGTTTTGATCGCCTTCGTTTTTAAAAAAGCAGCTTTCTAACATTGATGTCGTAAAGGTGAGTTTTATCACCTCACCCCATGTCGCTGACAGCTAGAGGCATGTTGCAGACAGTTCCCATGGCAACCACTGACACTCTAAGCCTTCCCTGTGTTCTTCTGTAAACAGCAGTGTTTATCTTGTGCACTTCCTCATAACAGCTGCCTGTCATGTTCACGGGTTGGTTCACAATCCCTGCCTGAAGTTTTGTCACTGGTTCAAATGAGGCACTTTTAATCACAGGCTGACCCCGTACAGAAGAAGAGGGGGGGTTGAGTGAGTGTTCAGTGTTTTTACAGACACACTTTTCTTATTTGTGTCACTATTGTCAAATCATGCGCAATTTTTTTCAATTTGCATCAGAATAAATAGAAAAACTTGAACACAAACACATCGGAACAAACTTCTAAAAGAGAGTTGACTAGTAAATAACTTCACTTGAATGAACAGTTTATTGTATATTTGTTTGCTGGTTGGTTAAACTGTGAAATTTGGATTGATTTGATACACACATTTATTATTTGACACATATCTTCATCACCGCACGTTGTGTGCCACTAATCATTCACACTTACATTGTTGTGGGCATTTATCACCAGTGTTGTGCTAATCTGTATGTAATCATATTACTCTTTTTCTCAATGATGTGTTTGATTTCCAGTAATTACAGTCATTGACTGCCTGATGAAAATGGAAAATTACTACATGATACAGTATTACAAAAGGAGGTTTATTTTTGTCTTGCCTTGAAGGTACTTTCACTGTTAGAGCACAGTGCAACAGCCTCTGCATGAAAGGGAGGGAGCTTTATGAAGGACAAAGCAGCATAAAGGGAAAATGCAATTATTAATACATTATTTTGTAATTTACATTTTAGCTCCTGTGTGTAACACTTAGGAGGATCTACTGGCCAAAATGGAATATAATATTTATAGATATGTTACCTTAGAATGAGCCGTTTTTATCAACAGAGGGAGCAGGTCCACTTCCATGTTTCTACAGTATGGACAAACCAAACACTGGATCTAGATAGGGCATTTGGCGAGTTTTGCAGTCACCATACTTTCTCGCTTGAATAAGAAGAGTGAGGCGAGGATGTTGCAATCAGCAATTGCACCACTAGATGCCACTAAACCCACAAACTGGTTCTTTAAGTTAACAATACGACCATACAATATAAAATGTGATTTTATTAAACATACAATGGGTAATTTATGCAGTTAGAGGTCTTACATAAAAAAACAAAAACAAAAGTGTGATGATGTCTTGAAGTAGCACGGAATCATGGGAGTTGTTGTCTTCACCACCATTGTTATCATTGCAGTCGGCTTCCCCGGGAGCCGAATGATCCACAGAGGTCTCCTCCTCTCCCTAACAAACAAACCCAGTGATTAAAATCAGTTAAAACACAGAATTAAAGCTGTTTCACCTTAAAAATCAGTGTTTCTCCAACGCTGTTTGGCTGACAAACACTGTGTGACGGAGGGGCTGCGAGTCGAGTGGCTTCTAATGTTAGCTTAGCTTGTTTCTCTGATAACTTAAGATCCAGATGTTCAATGACTAAAATTCAATTAATCTGGTTGAAATACAGAGTTAAAAACCACCTAGATGTGTAGTGTATCATACAAATGTGGCTTAAGACTGAATAAAAAGTCAATTTCTGACAACCTCTGGCAGACAACTACAACACTGACAAATGCACAAAGGGGATATGACACCATTCACAGTGTGAAGTTACCTGAATAAAGTACAACTCAACTATATATATGGCATAGGTCTAGTGTTTATGGACATTTTAATGCAGAAATGTTACATAAATAGCTTTAAACGTACCTTGGGTCCAAGTCACAATCATCTGCCCACGTCTGCAAACTCCACAAACAAATGATCAGAAAACACGCTCATTGTGGTCATGCTGGTGGAAAAAAAGCACTTCCTGCAAGTATAATGGTGAGAATACCTCAACTCCTGGGCCAGACTGTGGTCTGTAGTGTTAGTCTTCATGTTGCTCTGAGTCTAATGCACTTTCACAGAAATGAAGGCTGACTTCTTTTAAGCCTAAAAAGTTTGCTAACCCTTCCCTGCAGGCTAACACAGAACTAAAGCCATGTTTCCATGGTA